GGGAATTAATCCTGGAGGTAAAATCAACATATGGCAAGCACCCACTGTCCAGGCAATTTATTGTAGCATGGTGTGTCGTGGTAAAAGGCCAGAAACCACCTAAATGTCCATCAAGTAAAATATGAGTACAGTATATAATAAGTCTGTATAATAGGATTCTCTGACAGTGTTAAAAATAAAGGCAATCTCTAGGCTGTATCGCTAGGTTGAAAGAATAGAGAAAACAAAAACATATCAATAATGGTTGTACAATATGAAAAGTACAATCAATGGCACTGAGTTATACATGTAGAAGTCATGGCATTGGAGAATGTTTTGTTGTGTATATGTTTGCTACAATTAGAAAAAGTAATAATGACATGAATAACATGAGTACAAGGAAGAATATGTTCTAGAATTGAATATGGGGATAATTGTACAACACTTCTCCATAGACTCTTATTGAATTGTATGACATGTGAATGAAGTGCTAATAAAACTGATAGTCAAAAGAAAACAAAAACAACAGCAAAACACGACAACTCTGTGGGAGGTTGTGGGGATTGCTTCCTAGGAGTCCTGGGGTTGGAGAAGCAGAAAGACTTGATTTGAACTGTGTTCTCCTTGTATGTGATTTGAATGCCATCTCGGGCACAGGCCTTTATTCTTATCAAGAAGTAAGTTAAGCCCTGCAGAAAACGCAAGTTAAACAAAGGTTCTATTGCAGTTGCTCAGGTGTTATCACTCTGATAAGAGCAGCACGGATGGAGAAGTGGATGGATTCAGGATTTGTTTTGGAGAGCTGATGGGACCTGCTGGTGCAGGGGATGTGGAAGATGAGGTAAGTAAGCCGTTGAGGCCAACTGCTCAGATGGTGGCTTAGCAACCACCTGGTGGTGGAGAGAGGTGTCCTTTCCTTTGCCAGGAATGCTCTGGCTGAAGTAGAGATGGGAAGTGTGGGGGAACTCAAGGATTCTGTTTTGGATGTTAGCCTTGATAGATAGACCCCTTCCTCAGTTGAAGAGAGATGTCTAGAAGGCAACTGGCAAAGGAGTTTTATTGCTTAAGACAGGGGTCTGGAGGTATTTTGGAAGCATCAGTACAGTGAACCCTCATTTATCGCGGTTAATCGGTTCTAGACCCTACCGTGATAAATGAAATTCCACGAAGTAGGATTCCTTATTTGTAAATCAAATATTTTCGTAGTTAGAGCATAGAGGACATGAAAAAAACACCCTTTAGTCACC